TAATACTGAATTCTGCTTTCTTGGCACATTTTGAAATAAGCAAACCTGTAGCTGGGTTGTCTTTTAAAAGTCTGCTCTAATGAGACAAGTTATCTAGGCAAAATATCCATAAAAATGTTAGTGTTGCAAGCAGTCTCAGTAAGCAGTTATCAAACTCAAAGTTTGACCCTGAAGAAGAGTAACTCAGACAGATAATGCAGAATTCATAGATCATGTAAAATTACAATTAGGTCCCCCCTCTATAACCTCTTATCAACTAAATATATTCTAGGTCAAAAGCATATTCTCCAGATATTAGAAAATACTTGTCAAGGATATTGGAAATTAAAATTTATGGCGAATTGTGTTTTAATAAATATCAAAATCACTTCAAATTTTGATAGGAACCCATAGAAACTGCCTTAGCCACAGAGGCAGAAGCATTCACAGCAGTGAGTCCTTTTCCTGTGTCTTCCATATTGTCTGTAATGTCAGTGTAGCATTTAGGTACTGCAGGGCCAAGATCCAACCAATATATGTCTATTAAAAACAGCAATCACTTTGATTTAACCCCATGTTCTAAGAATGAACCTGTGATGAGCAAGACAATGTGAGTGGTCTGTGTAAGATCAGAACATTTCTTCTTTGTGTCCAAGTGGATCTTCTAGAGAGGCAAGTCCTTGTTAAAATATATTACAGTCTGTTCATGAGCCTCTTTTCAATTCTGGGAATCCAGTCTTTCTGATTAAATGCATTGGGACCTGCAGGCTACCTGCAACAGGGCTACAGACAGCAATACTTCTTTTGCTACCATAAATATTCAGTGAAGATCTGCCTGCTCCCTTAAGAGCAGAGAACCCTGCCTAAAAACAAAGAACAGCTAGAGACTATCCATTTGTTCATTAAAGAGCAGAACATATTGCTAGCATGCAGGTTTAAAAGGTTACATTTATTTTGCACTGTAAAAAGACACTAGCAATGAATTAGCCAACAAACCCAATTTCCATAGCTTTAAACTAGGAAGAAGCAAACATATCATCACTTTCTCTGGAAAATTTAAACAACCATGATTTGCCAATATCTGTCATCTGTATCACTGTCAAAACTAAAATATATACAATTAATCATAAAATCAGAAATTTACTTTAAATTTCCAAAAATGTCTAGAGCATCACAATTTCAGTTATCACAGTGATTATTTAATACCATTTTACTGCTAAAAACTGTCACTTTAAATGTCTGTCAGAGTGGTTTAAATGCAGTATATTAGGTAAAATTCTTTCTGGAAGCTTCTAGTAATGGCAGCTAACTTAATAAGGTTAGTCACCCTGAAGGTGTTCAAGAGTGTGCTGCCTTACAAAGACACCTCATAGGACAAAGAAAATTCTAGTCTGACCTCATAAGTTTCCTAGAGTGACTAATCAAGTCCCGAATTAGGGTTAAGATAAAGGCCACTCTGAACATAGGAATCCACACAACTAAAGATCTCTATGACTGATTTTGGCTTATTTTAGGACCCCCAAGTCAAAACTTTCAGCCCTTCACATTTACTTTGTTCCCTTTGGCATGCGATTGGCCCAAAACTAGTCAAGAGATCTAAGGTGACCAATGACTTTTGAAATGTGGCAAGACCTACAAGCAAGCAAGGCCTAATATGCCATCTCTGTCCTAGGGGGTGGTTGATTAAGAAGAAATTAAAGTGAAGAATGAAGAGAAAAATTTCAAAAAGACTTCTGGTTAAAATATATAGAGAAAAAGAATTCTCTAACTCAAACACCTTCAGATTGCTTTTGAGTCTCCGCAGGTTACAGTCAAAGTATATCCCATATGCTTTTTTGGTTGGCTACAAAATAAACTGATTCTTTGAAAACAGAAAACAGACAACTTTCAAGTAATTGGGCCATAAAGCAGTTGCTTCTTCCCTTTAAATACTCTGCCTGCTTTTTCCTTTACATATCCCCTCAAAGCCCAGGGTTCCATGCCACAGTCAGTACTCTTTTGGTATCTAGTTAGAATGTGGACAAGTCAACATATACAACACTCTTCCAAATACTACTATATCAAAATAAACGATATGCTGGCAGCACAACATTCTTAACCATAATCAATACTTAACATTCTTTTAGAATTAGAACTTAAAGTATTTTAATCATGATATTATCAAAATGTCCAAGAATATTTAATTGCCTATTTGGAAGTTACTCACTCTGCTGCCCTAAAAATTAAACATACTCTATCTATAGCCATTAGTAGAGGAATTATGTTTTCAATGTGACAATTTTCAACATGAATATTATTAAAGAATCACAAAAGGCAACATAGCAGTATATTTTATCCAGGGTTTCTTCTCTTTCCCTTTTTTTTTTTTTTTTTTTTTCAAATCCTATGTCCTCTTTGAATATAGGGGAATTATTTTCCAACTAGCCCAAAAAAGGCATTTTTTCATACCCTAACCTGAAAAGGTTTCATACAAGTCAATGTTACTTTGGTCAGCAGAAACGCAAAGAAAATCTACAGCCTGGCTAAGGCACTCTACTCTGAAATGGACAGACAACACGTATGCATGCCATTGTTCCCCAAAAGGAAGCTCAGTACACGCTGGGGAGAAAGGCTAGGGTGTGAACTCACCCCAAAATATCATGCATAAGCCTGAATAGATTTTAGACTTTGGAAATACGATGGCAACTGGTCTAGCATACATGCTCAGGGCATCTAAAAAGAAGTACTGTTTCAGTTCTGTATATACAAACAAATTGGGCCTTTCAAGGTATAGTCTCAAGATGGCGAACTAAAACAATAAAATATGGCAGGACACTAAACAGTCACAAATCCACAGTATTCTGAGACAGTCAATAGTAGAGTTTCACATTTACCTTGTTGGCAGCCACCTTTCATTCATCTAATGTTGCCAATAAAAGTGACTCTGACATAATTCTTTACCACCACAGGAGATTATATCATAAAGTATAGGCACGAAATATTTTTAAAATTAAACTGATGCAACAGAAAGAAAACAAAAAAAACTTTGAGGTAAAACAGATGCAAGATTATGCCAGAATTAAAGGTATATTTACTATACAAGTTGGAAAAAGCCTGTGGTCCAAAGTTGTCATTTAATAAATATTTATCAGTTCTTTTCTTATAATACAGATTAATCTCATTCCTGTGTACAAGATCAACAAAACAATAAAATTATTAGTTTAGAAACCTTTAAATACAGCTTTCTTCCCACCTCAAATTAACACTTTATCCAGTTCAGTATTACAGATGGCAAAGAACAATGTACATAAAAAATAGCTACTTTCACTTAATTGTTTTGTTCTCTAACCTCCATGATGGCAAGTTTTTGACAAACAGGATCACAACCCACAATTTTTTGCATCCATTTTCAGTGTTCATTTTTGTCTCAGAGAAAATCACTGAATATATACCTTAAGCTTTGACAATTTTTAAAAATGTTCGGAACCATATGCTAGCTCCTGGACTTCTCATTCTAATAACCTGGATGACAGTGATTAGAATTTACAAATTAAAAAAAATGAAATATCAATTACATAGTGATTTTTACAAAGCAGACTGAAATACAACAAAGGAATACATTACAATTAAATTGAACGATGGTCACATTCACAGATAAATAATGGTTATGAATTTAATTACATATCAACACAGTGGTGCCCATTTTATCCAAGTGCAACCTGTCCAAAAAAAGGGGTTTAAGATACACTCTTCATTTAAGCACAAACTTAATTCAATGGAAAAATAAAGAAAATCCGCAAGTATATTTCACCACCACCAAACTAAATGAAAACAAAGTTAAAAAAGAAACAATATTCACATTCAAGAAAAAATGTGATCTAAAAACTATCACATTAAAGTCAAAGGGATTTTTATGTTTGTCAGCAAACTTCAAAAGTTACTCCAAGTCATAGTAAAGGGAGTATATACTCAGTAAGGCATATATAAAAAAAATTTTCAAGGGCAAGTTGAGAGAGAATTTCTCCCTGCTGAATCCTGTGTGGAAAAAATAACATAGTGTTCATTCCATCCCAGAGAGAGAAAGAAAGGAATGGAAAAATGAATTAAAAACTAGTTTTGGTCATTCATTTTCTCTTATAAGGTACTTTATCTGCATTCCTCACAAGTAATTATCCTAAAACTGGGACTGTCACATGTGTTCATACAGTTCATGGTTCACAGACACCAAATCTCAGCAACACACAGCTGAGGGAGAAATCTACATTAAAAAATTGCTAATGGATGAGTTATTGTTACAATTCATTCTGTACTAAGTAAGCCTCAATAGAATATTTTTCTTTAAAAGCAACATAAGCCATTTATGAACATGTGTACCATAACAAATAGAGTCAGACTATTAGATAATTTAAATATACATACTGGCTCTCTTAGCTCTGTGACAACAGAAGGCATTTCCATGGGAAAGAGAATCCAGTTTTTGGCAACTGTCTATGGTTTTGTAATCATTTGGCATCTCTTGTAGAAGGGTGACTTGTTGTTATCTTTTCCCTGTATTAGATTTGGTCTATTGATAGCTTCCACAGCTAACGTCCTACTACAAAGTACCAAATACGAAAACACATTGTGGCTGTCTGAAGGCTATTAGTGTTCTAGATCAATAGTTGGATTTAGAAAAATAAAAGCAAACCCTCTTTAACGCTGTATGAATGAAAACATGTGGATTCATAAACCTAAAATCACTAGGAAACACTTTGCTGGTCTAATGTACATTATCGTTGTTGTTGTTGAGTGCCTCGAGTCAGTTCTGACTCATAGTGACACTGTCCATTATACTTAGCCCCAAAACCAAATTTTTTCAAAAAATTAAATCAACTGGGAGTTAATAGGCCTTAAATTCCACAAGTTCACATCTTATGATTCATTCCCGCTGTCCAAGTGTCACACACTCTGAGTTTCCATGTCTGTCAAGCAGATCAGCTTAGTTCAAAGGTGATGGATGAAATATTTACAAGCATCTTATTTACAGCACTTTTTTCTGTAGATTACAGGCCAATCTGGCTTTCTTCCATTGCTAGTCAATCCGAATTAGGTTTCTTCAATGAGAAGGGGTAAATCTGAAAATGGCTGCTCAGCTGCTTTACCTATAGAAAATCAGAGCATAAGGCAGTAATAAATATATAACTGATTATTCTTAAAATGTACATCAAATTCACTTTCTAGAGATACCAATTCACTAGCATGACAAACACCAATCAGAAATAACTGTGAGGCTTATGGTAGAGCTAGAGAACTAAATGAGACTATCAGAATTAACCCCAGGAGAGAGAGGCCTTGAATCTGGGTCTGTCTAACTCCAAAATACAGGTTTTCCAGACCCTTTCAGGCATACCGAATCACATTCATATTTACTGAAAAATGATTTAAAAAGACACTGGCTATAGTAATCATCCTCCTGCATATGAGTGATGAAATACCAAAGGGCTAAGAGTGTTGACAAAAACATGAATAATTATGCCTTACATTACATGTCTTAAGCATGTAATTTCACTTAGTTTGCTTTAACAGATGAGATCTACTTTAGAGAGAAATACCAAGAAACAAAGTATAAGTTTAGTAATACATGCAAGGACTAAAGTTATTACCAAGCATGGCAAGTACTTCCCATTTTAAATATATATATATATATAAAGATAGAGGAATATGTTTCTCAACTGATTTACAGCAGGGTTCTTTTAAAAACAAACACACCAAATAGACGTATTTTAAAAGCCATAAAAATGTGAATACCCTTTTATACAATCCTATTTCTATGAAATTATCTGCATAAAATAAAACAAATGAAGGAAAAAAAAACCCAAAAACCACATTCTTCAGATATTCACTCCAACACTCTAATGTGAACATTTGGAAACAACTCAATGACAAAAATAACTGGGTTATGATTAAGTAAATTTTGACTAAACAATCTTCTTGATGGATTATTGTATGGCAATTAAAAATCACAATCATTGAGACCATGTTAAACAATATGTAAAATAATTAGAAAAGAATGCTAAAGGGGGAGAAAATAGAAATCTCAATGGTTCTATTTTCATTTTATTATATCTATAAAGAAAACAAAATTCCTCACCACTGGACCAATAAACAACATTCTTATCAACAGAGAAAAGATTGAAGTTGTCAAGGACTTCATTCTTCTTGGATCAGCTATCAACACTCACGGAAGCAGCAGTCAAGAAATCAAAAGATGTATTGCATTATGTAAATCTGCTGCACAAGACCTTTTTAAAGTGTTGAAGAGCAAAGATGTCAGCTTGAGGATTAAGGTGTGCCTGACCCAATCCATAGTATTTTCAGTAACCTCTTATGCAATGCATGTGAAAGCTGGACAGTGAATAAGGAAGACCGTAGAAGAATTGATGCTTTTGAATTCTGGTGTTGAAGGTGAATATTGAAAGTGCCTTGGGCTGCCAAAAGAACCAATAGATCTGTGTTAGAAGAAGTTTAGCCAGAGTGTTCTTTAGAGGCCAGGATGGCCAAACTTCATCTCTCATACTTCGGACATATTGTCAGGAGAGACCAGTAGCTGGAGAAGGATATCATGTTTGGTAAGGTGGAGGGTCAGAGAAAAAGAGGAAGATCCCCAATGAGATGGATTGGCCAAGTGGCAGAATCAATGGACTCAAGCATGGCAACTTTTGTGAGGTTGGCCCAGGATTGGACAGTGCTTTGTTCTGTTGTCCATAGGGTCGCTATGAGTTGGTACCGACTTGATGGCACCTAACAACAACAACATTAGTCTACTCTTCCTGAAACTAGTCTCTTATTTTAGAAAAGAATATTAAATTCTGTATAATACCTCTTAAATATATACCCTTATTATATTTCCCCTTATCTTGTTGAGCTCTGGTAGCGTAGTGGTTACGAATCGGGCTGCGAACCTAAAGGTCAGCGGTTCGAAACTACCAGCCGCTCCGCGGGAGAAAGATAAGGCTTTCTACTCCCGTAAGGATTTACACCCTCGGAAACCCTGTACAGGGTCGCTATGGGTCGGAACCGACTCGACGGCACGTAACAACAACAACATCTTGTTTATTATATTTGCTGATGAGGGTTCAGGAATAGCACAGATAAAGTCAGCAACAAATGCAATATTCTAGCATTAGTTAAAAGCTTGAATCCTCCCAGAGTCAGTGAAATAGCCACAGGGGACTAGAGTGGAGAGTGAAGCGTTCAGCTGATAAGAAGAGAGGGCACATGCATAAGAATATCCACACTTGCAGATAATACCCTCTTGACCTCGCTTCAATGACTGGATAGTCAGAACTCAACTAGAAGAAATAAAGAACAGGAAAAAAAAGTCATCTGATAGAATATTATTTGATGAACTTGACCTACACTTATGGATGCAGTAGCTCAAAAGAAGGGACAAATCTTTAAAGCGAGGATCATTCCCATCCACTCCATACAGAGTAGAGAGGGATGGGCAACTTGGACATTGGCTATCCAAAATAGGGGGGCTACAAAGGCAAGAAGTGACTGGCTTATAAGCTTTCAGGAGGGAACCTAGATCTAGAGGGTGTGGAGGAAGGTAGAATCTCCACTGAGTAGTATCCAATCTGCCTGGGTGGGGCTGATGAAAGGAGATGGGGATAGGTCCCTTGAGGTACAATGGTGAATAATTGTTATCAGGACTGACTGCGCTGGTTGGAAATGTAAAGGTGGACGTTTTGTAGCAAAAGGAGGGGAGTGATTGACTATGCTGTCCAGGAGACGAGCAAAGTGTGAGACCCTACCCAGAGAAGCAGTGATGCCAGAGATGGAGACATAGCGGCTGGGTACTCTAGACCCAGATAGAAGAGGGACTGTGTGCTGACGACCAGGGGGCAGGCTTGTAGGGTATACCCTTTAGTTGGTTGATGATGCGTGGAGGGGACTGTAACCATGGCAATGAAATGATATACGATAGGATAAATGCAAAGCTAATGTTCTCCCATGTAAACTATCACATAATTCACAACAAAACATTTAAAAAAGAAATAAAAGAAGCAGTTTGAATCCCCCTGATCATAGTGCTTATAGAACTGGGGGAGGGAAAGGGTAGACTACAAATTCTCATTTCTTTGTAAATTATATTAATGAACAAGAAAAATGTCCCAAAGCTAAAGGAGTGAAGAAACAGATAATCAACAAATAAAATGATCTGTACCTATATAATTAAAAGCACAAAATACTTTACAAACCTACTCGCCAGGAAAACATTCTGCATTTTGACACACGACAAAACATGAATTCCTCAAATGAATTATCCAGCTTTAAAATCACTGCAGTTACTACAATATATTCATTAAAGGAATATTATCTGAAACTGCATGCCTGGAGATTATCCAAAATTTAGAGAATATCCCACAATCCTCCTATCTACTATTAAAAGCAACTGTCATTCTCAAATTTCCATTTGCTTTCCATTATTTACAGGAACTAAATGAAACCAATTTTGCTCTTGCTTACTCACCACTTGTACTCCATAATGGATGTGAGCCAGAGTGAACACAGATGTTAACGTATATAGGAGAATGCTCTCAATGTAAGAAGCTATTCCTAAGTACACCGCCATGACAACCAATAACAGTGGAATGAGCAACCAATTCAGAGTTGGGCACCGGGTATTGCTCATTTGACAAACAATCAGTTGGCACTTAAAGTTGGTTAAAAAAAGAAAGAAAATTTAGTTAGCAAAACACTTCCACATTTAAAAAGCATTCAAGTGTTTGAGCCAACATGTATCCATTAGTTCTCAACTGCTCAAGTGTTTGCCCAACTGTATCCCTGCCCCTTATCCTAAACCCATGAACTCTCAGACTGGAAACAATTTACAAAGGTACTATAGAAGGTGGAGTCTTGGTGTGGTGCTATAGGATAAGCACTGGACTACTAATCACAAGGTCAGTGGTTCAAACCCACCAGCCAATCCTCGGAAACCCTGTACAGGGTTGCTGTGAGTCAGAAGTGACTTGATTGCATTTAACAACAAAAACATAGAAGGTATTCCTCCACTAGGTTAACAGTTTGGATAAAATCAATTTCTTTTACGATTCTATGGTATCTGATGGAAAAGAAAAAAAAATCAAAACATCTTCCCATAGTCCTACACAAGTAAATTTCTTTACGGCAGTGGTCAAGAAGGGCTCCACTGTGCTACACAGTAAAGATGTAATTTCAATTCAGTCATGCTGCCTTACCAGCACCCCAGAACCACTTTGGTTCCCTTTCTCTTGAACAACTAACTCAAGTAGCTATCCAAGGTACAACATTTGTTCTCTAGTCTCCTAGAACAACAGAGGAAAAAAGAGTCAGGAACTGGAGGAGGAACTGAAATGCTTGTCTAATTGCCTCCATGAACAGCTGCCCCCTTTGCCATAAGAATAAAAGAACTAGATGGTGCTAAAGCTATCATTACTGAAAGTCTTAATAAAGGACTCTATAGAAGTATTCTGATTAAAGGGTAAAAATCTGGTACACAATTTCCCATTTTTATGGAATCTGGACTTTCTGGAGCCACTGAGGCTAGATGAATTCCCTCCCAGACTATTGCCCTGAGGTACTCTTCCATCTAAACTATCCTCTGAAGTCATCTTTAAGTCATGTTAAGTGCAAACACTGTTGCTGTTAAGTGCCATCGAGTCAAGTCGGACTCACAGTTACCCAGTATGGGGTTTCTAAGAAGTGGCTGGTGAATTTGAACCACCGACTTTGCAGTCCAGTGCTTATCCCACAGTGCCACACCAGGGCTCCCATAGTTTAGTTGAATTAGTAAAGACTGTTGGCCTTGAGCATTGTGCTCACTGAGATAAAACTGACACTAGCAACTAGATCAACCAAGGGGACAGTAAATTTATGTTAACAGGGGTCAAATAATTTGGAAAAGGATAGCGAGAATGGTGGCACAACTTGTGGTGATACAACTTGGAGAATGTAATCAATGTCACTGAATTGTATATCTAGAGAGGGTTCAGTTGGGTTAGGGTTTGTATATTTTTTATCAAAAATAAAACCCACTTCTAAAATTCTGCCATATATAATGATTTTTAAAAGAAAAAAACTTACGGTGATGTTGGCAAAGGCTGTTCCAACCATAAAGTAGAATATTCTAGGATGTATTTCTAAAATATCTGAAGGTGACCAGAGGATCCATGCTGTAGACAAAACGAATAGCAAACATGGAGAAAACAAGGGAACCATAGCTTCATAGACTGAATTGTGTTTCAAGGTGCTATTTTTATAGCTTCTGGAAAAAAAATATCAAGTAATACAAAAAATATTATTACATATAAAACATACATTCCATAGTACTTTGTCAATTTCAAAGTATTTTTACATTTATTTTCTCATTTTATACTCCCAATAATCCTGTGGCATAGGCGGAACCAGCATTACTAATCCCATTTTACAAATAGGGTAAGCAAAGATAGCAGAACTGACACAACTTGCTACTAAGTGGCAGGGCCAGGACTAGGGCTGAAATCTACTGACTCCTGTTGTTGGTTGCCATTGAGTTCACTCAGACTCATGGAGACCCTATTATGTGCAAAGCAAAACGGCTACATGGGTTTTTAAAAGCTGTGACCTTTCAGAAGCAGATTGCCAGGCCTGTTTTCCAGGTGCCTCTGGGCAGGTCTGAACCACCAACTTTGGGGTTAGTAGTTGAGAAGCTAACCATTTGTGCCACCCAAGGACTCCTATTGAAAGCTAGTTCCAACTATTTTCACTCTAAATCAAACTATTAAATGTTGAATCAGGGGTGTCTTTAATATTTTTTCTATGATATTATATTTGAATAGAGAACCAAAATAAAACACAAAACAGTATTTAAAAAGTATCTCATAGATGTTACTGAGATACATAGTATTAAGAACTTAAGAGAACTACATGGAATGACCTCAAATTAGAGCTCCAAGGTCACATGGTAGTGTTTCCAAGCACATAAAAGGTAATCCAATGAATGTTTGCTAATTCGAACTAAGCCTCAAATTTTAGTCCTGGTTCTGCCATTGATTACACGATGCTGGCCAATCAGCACCTCACAGATAAAAGGAGGAGGGAATGACTCGAATCGTCTCTAAGGCTCTTACAGCTTGAAATCTGATGGCCACTATGATGATTGTCAGCTGCAACAGGGAAGACTCATAGAGGTGGGCTTGACATGATGAATATGTTTCTGTAAGAAAGCTCGGAGAGCTGAAGGGTCAAGTGATAAGTACAAAAACGGCTTCAAGTAAAGTAAACAGTGGGAGCAAAATTACTGAGGGGGAACAGTAAAATATAGGTAGAACACATTAAATTCAGTGTGGCTGACAAAAGATGGGGAAGGTGTCATAGGTGGGAAAAAAACTTCACCGACCCCATCCCAACTCTAAGACCTTCTATACAGTGCTATTTGTGAGGAGTCAACATAGTCCAGGTTTTGGGCTTAAATGCCATAGTTTCAGAAATTTTATTTTATGATCATGGTACCTAAACTTTGGAGTCCTGGTGTGGTGCTGTAGAATAAGCATTTGACTACAAGGTCGGTTTGAGCCGCAAGGTTGGCAGTTCAAACTCACTAGCAGCTAACCAAGGAAATGCTATGCTTTTGTTAAGTGCTGTGGAGTCGGTTCTGACTCATAGCAACCCTGTATAGGGTTCCCGAGGAGCAGCTGGTGGGTTTGAACTGGTGACCTGTGGTTCACAGTCCAATGCTATGAGTTGGAACTGACTCAATGGGACTTAACAACAACAACATAAACTTAAAAGGTAATCAATTTATAAAATAATGTGAATGTACTCCCTCTTGGTGGAAAAATTCAGTCACAAAAAAATGACAAATCAAGTGTGTTTAGTAAGTCCAAAACTTTTAACGAAAGAACTGGTGTTCTTTGGGCTATAGCTGAATTGACTACATTAGCAATTCAGATACTGTAAAGTAGGATAAAACTCATTCTATATTCAAATAATATGTTCCATGCCCTTTTCAAACACCCAGATTCCAAAAGGAAAAACTGGTCCCTCAATTCACTTAAGTAACAATTTCTAATGATTTTCATATTTCTCATCCAATTAAAAAATAAAATACTTACCTGAAAAAGTTAAATAAACTCATTGGAAGAGTCACACATAACGCACAACCTAAAGGGAAGAATAAAGTAACCATGAATTCTTATTCAAGAGTAATCATTATACTGAAGACATACACAGTATGCAATATTTTTAGACCCAATAATTTTCATGTTCAAGTTTACTTCTGCAATGAAATTAAATATGTTTTTTAACAACATTTACACTGGAAAAATTGGACGTACTATTCAGAGAATATACTCAAGGAGTCATATGGGACTTGAATTTTATTTGTGCCACTAACTGGTTTTGCGACTTTAGACAAAACTTAACCTACTAGCACCTCAGTTCCCTCTTTTATAAAATAGAGATAATAGTAATACCAACACTGTAGTTTCGAGAATTAAAAGTTATTACACATAAAGACATTTGGAACAGTAAACTGCACAATAAAGGGAAACTCTGAGGAAGGGGGTGGTTAAGGCATCCTGCTGCTTCCCACTGACACCCATCTTTACCTCGCTAGCATTTGCAGTTTCAACCCCCCTCCCTACAAACCTAAAAATAAGAATGAACTTGACAAGAAATCCTACGAGTGATTATGTTACTCAACATCCCCGAGCTCACTCTTGTATTTCCTGTCACCTGACAAACTTTTCTGTTGCTTCAGTTCCTCAACTTTCTTTTATTCATTCTGTTTCCGTATTTCTGTAGAAATTGTACTCTTGAAATTTACCAGCTCTCTTAAATTATCAAATTCATTCCTTGACATTCTCATCCTCTGACTTCTAAGCAAGATGACTTTGTTGACTACCCCTAATTGTAAGCCTCTCTTCCCTTTGCCTTTATGATTTCAATCTTTCAGTGTTCCTATTCGTTGTCTCACCATTTCAGTTTATGCCCTTTATAGGTGATTCTTCCTCTTGTGCATTCCTAACTTGGCATTCTACTGTACTTATTTACTCTCTCAGTGACGTAATGACTCTTCTGTTTTAACTACAAACTTCCTGAAAATGACTCCAATATCTAACTATGCAACCTAGCTCAGACCTTTCTGAGCTAGATTCCACAGGATGAGCTATATGATTTCCTAGTGTCTCTTGCAGCTGTAAAATGCTTTGAGTCTATGAGCTATAGAAATGTAATTTACTCATCTTTCTCACTTGCAAACTAGACACTCACATTTAGAAGTTTCATTGTCACTCAACATATTAGCCATAGTTTGTCCATTTCTGACTCCTGGAGACTATACTTGGCTTGGGGGATCAACGCAGCTATGACCTTAAGGATCAAAGGTAGAAAAACATTCCTTCAAAACAAATTCTCTCAAGACTGATGAAAAGATTGAAAACCACTACCAAAGAGAAATCTTAACTCAAAAGATGAATTATTCTGCTACTTTCAAACTCAACTAAACAAAGTCTCTCAAATTAGAAGATCTCAAAGGAAAAGGAAGCTGGTGTCCTGAAAGTCCCTAGAAATTCTGAGCAGCAAAATTACTCCACATCAAGCTAAGAAGTTTTGGAGGAGAGCCAGGACTCGAGGAATTAACCCAGAATCACTTGTAATTCTAAAGTGTTAGAAACACACTAAGACAAACTTGCAAAAAACTTGCTATTAAGAGTATTTTGAGTTTCAAAAAAGTCCTAAAATAGTTTAATCTTAAGTAGAGTAAGCATATGTAGACAGCCTGGACTTTATATGGACTGCCAAAGTGAAAAACTGCATCTTCTACTTCTTTGTTAAACAGTACTTAATACCCCAAATATTTCCTATACAGCATACTTATTTGTGAATTTTAAAACGTATCTATTAAACTTCATATTCCAGAAAATAATAATGATAGAACTCACATATATGCAGACCTGCTTTTGATATTACCAGAATTAAAGACAAGAATTCATAATATAGGAAACTTAACAGTTACAGACAAAAATATAGTAGTAGTCATAAAAAGATTTGTATGGAATGAGATACAATTCAAGGATAATGTGATCATATATAATATTTTGATTCTGTACATTCCCAGGCATGTTTATTAAATAGGAATTTCAATGAAAACTACAAAGACAAACTATAAGAGACCCCGGGGAGCATGGTGAGAAAGACAGAAATGAGAGAAGGTTCTATTCTTGAAAAGAGAATTGTTCTTGGGAAGGTCTGAGTTTGCTGTATCTTCCACTAAGAATCCACCCTTCCAATCTACACCAATTCAGGCTGCAGAAAGCAGAAGTTTTACTGGCTTGAGCAAATATTTTTTTGGAGAGAGGACAGACCAAAGGCTGGCGTAATAACTAGAGATTTTGGCAGTGGAAGCCTGGAAGCAAGGAAACCATAAAATATTGTTTATTTTTAAACTGGATATTACTTATCCAGCTATAAAAAAGCTACAACATGAATGAACCTTGAAAAATGAGACACAAAAAGCTTTGGGATGATATAAAAAAAAAAAAAATCACGGTGACATCTGCATAACATTTTGATTCTACTCAATACCATACCATTGAATTACATACTTTTAAATAGTTACAGTGGTAAATTTTAGGTTATGTATACTTTACCACAATAATTTTTATTTAAAAACAACCAAATGGAAATTCTAGAGCTGAAAAATAAAATCACTTAAGTGAAAAATTCACTAGATGGCCTAAAGAGCAGACTGGAACTGTTAGGAGAAAAAACATCAGTGAATTTGAAGAGAGATAAATATACATTATCCAATACAAAGAATACACAAAAACATTAAAGAAAAATTAATAAAGATTCAGAAAATTACCTGTAGGACAATATCAAGCTGTTTAATATATGTGTAAGTGGGGTTCCAGAAGGAGGGGAGAGAAAGAGAAAATACCTGAAAAACGAATGGCTAAAAGCTTCCTATATTTAGTTAAAAATATTAACTTACAAATCTAAGAAGCTCAACAAACACAAAGGACAGGCAAACACTCACATACTCACAAAGACACATCATAATCAAATTGGCTGAAGTAAAAGATAAAGAATCTTGAAAGCAACAAGAGGAAAATAACATATTACATACAGGATGATAATGATCATATGTGTTAACTCAGAAACAATGAATGCCAGAGGACATTACATTGACATATCCAAAAAGCTGAATGAAATAGGCAAAAGAGGCATTTTCAGATAAACAAAAATGTGAAAAATGTAGTACTACCTGTACTACATTTGTAGAGCTGCACTGCAGGAACCCTAAAGGAAGTCCTTCAGGAGTCTAAGAAAGAAGACCGTATGGTACCCTAGATTGACAGCCAGGGACGAAGTGCAGCAGAAATGATATGTGGGTACATATAAAACCATATGCATTATCAAATACCCAGGAGTGAAAAGGTTATGATGCATTTGAAGTAAGACTGGCATTGATACTGAAAATTGTTGAAGCCAGAAATGGTACACTGGGATTTATTATATAAAAATAGAAAGTAGTATTGGAAATTTTTCATGATAAAAAGTGGAGAAAATTATGGAGGGGGGAAATCCTGCTTTCTACGTTGGTGGCTTGGTACAAAGAAGGCAACCTCCCTTAATGTCAAACAGGGGCCAACTTTTAATCATGCCTACTCCCAAGCACCTTGAGGCTCTAGTCAGGCAATTCCAGCATCCACCCCAACCACTGCCACCAATTTTATCAATAAAAACGAACTTGCTAGATCCTCAGCACCTACTATAATTTATATCTAACCAAATCTAGCACTGAAAAAGCTGATTTATATAGAAACACATGGGCTTTTGTGTTATTTCAGGAGATAATTCAAATAAACTTACAAGTTAGAAAGAATATTATGTGTTAATTGGCATACAAAATGAAAAATATCCACTTTAAATCTTAAAATTATGTCTCCTATCAGGCGTCTATCTTACCTTTAAATTTAATACTTAAAGAGGAAGCAAACCTGCCACAGAACAGGTTTTTAAAAAAAGAATTACAGTGTATGAGATGAAAAATAGCTAGCCTTTTCAAGGTAAGGAAGTAATAGTTCACACAGTTCCCCAAAAGTGAACATTTGGTAGATTACAAGGTAAGCAGAGTTCCTGCAATACATGAAGTCCAAAGACACAGAAAAGGTCCACATTACTCCTTTTCTGAAACCAAGTACCTAAGCCACTACTTGCTCAGCTGTTTCTAAGCTTTCCCTAAACCCCTTTCTGTTGCCAAGGTTCACCAAAGGTAAAAAGGCATGGTTGCTTTTAAACAGGGAATGCAGCAATACCCAACAAGTAAACTTTTTACATCTACAAAGGTTCTGGTGCCTTAAAGGAACAACCAAGATTCCTTTCTCTCTTTCTGTAATACCTACTCAGTCAATCATCTTGTATATATCTCCTATTTGTTGTTGTTAGGTGCCATAGAGTCAGTATCGACTCATAGCAACCCTATGTACAACAGAATGAAACACTGCCCAGTCCTAGGCCAACCTCACAATTGTTGCCATGCTTGAGCCCATTGATGCTGCCACTTTGGATATGTCTAAATCAAAAGGGAAACATTACCACTTCCAACAACCTTTACCTGACACTCAGTGGGATAGGTTGGAAGGTATGTGAACAGTACAGAGGTTCAATTATGTTGTTGTTGAGTGCCACCAAGTCAGTTCCGACGCAAAGCCACCCTGTATCATGTTTCCAAGGAACAGCTGGTGGGTTTGAACTGCCAACCTTGTGGTTAGTATTCCAGCGCTTATCCTATAGTGCTAATTATGTTAAAGAAAATTTCATGTTTCATCCATTCTTTTTTATAAACACGAGTAACAGCCAACTTTGAAGTATGAAACCAATATCAAATTTCCACCAAACTGTGCAGCCTCCAATGCAGACTAATTTGAATAATGTATAAACTTTGTGTGATCTATTTTTGATAGTTTCCTCTGATTAAAATAGATTGATGTTGAACACACTAAAACCTACAAAAAATGACATTTCCTTCCCAGCCCCCTTAGTGGTTAGGTCAAAATCCTAGAGGGTTGTTTTGCTGTTGGAGGGTCACTGATAGGGGTTACAGTCACACACTGACTTTTGATAACAAAGTGATGATTAAGACAGGCTTCAACATGGAACTTCTTACCAATAATCATTGCAGTGAATAGGTCTCTATATAAGAAATTAAACAGGAAAGGTTCATACCAGGCCTCAACTCCCACAATCGCAGTCACTATGTAGACAAAAGAAATAGTCTGGAAGGAAAATGCAGACAAAAGCATACAGAGGCATTAACAGCTGGAAAGTTCAGGTGGTCAATAATGCCTTATGCAGCATAAGTCTAGTCAGACAGTTTTAGTAAAAGCAAGAAGTATGCTTAAACTTGATGTTGTGGCAAGTCTTCTGGTCTTTAAAAAATTTATTCTTAGCCAACAATGCCATAAAATTACTAACTTCTAAACAATGGAAGCAACTGGCCATCATTTAGAGCACTTGAAGGCACCTCATAAATTGGTTAAGTTATAAGCTGATAGAGAATTTGCCCCTCCAATAATTTCATTCCTCAAACCCATACCAACTTCTGATTTTTCCACTGGAGCCTTAGGAGCAAATTGGCTAAATGGCAACACAAAAAGGAATTAAAAGGCAGGAAAAGTTAACAGCAAGCCTTTTAAGAAGAGAGAACAAATCTCTCAAACGCTAAAGATGAAGAAAAAATATCAATAATTTATTTACATGTGAATGTCTTTCTTTATAAAACCAACTGTTCAAATGAATGAATACTTAATAGTATTTTTAAAAATTGTGTGGTGCAACAGAGACGCTGTGATTCTGTGTGTGTGTTTAAAAGAGCCCTTTATCACTTAGAAATGTTTACTAAAATCTTTATGACATGTCAGGAATTTCCTTTAAAATAAGTGTGTGTGTGTGTGTGTGTGTGTGTGTGTGTGTGTGTGTGTGTGTGTGAAAAAGAGAGAGAGAATAATATCAATAAAACTAGACTGGTCATGTAAATGTAACTGTGGTAGTCAGGTGGCATATATATAGGAATTCACCAAACGATTTTGGGGTGGGGTGGGGTGGTACATGTTTGACATTTTCCATTAAAAATTTTTAAAGAAAAAAGGCACACATAAGTTCTAAGCAAACAGCATAAAGAAGGAATGACAAAAACTTTTTGAAAACTCCAAAGCAATGTTGAAAATGTAAGGCAGAACACATACTTACCACCTGGCTAATGTCATATCCCCATGGCAGGAAAAGAATCCCTGTGTTATACTTTTCCCAGTGAGACAGGATGAAGGAGAACAAAACTACCCATAACAGGTGATAAAGAACAAAAACACTGACACCAGTTGGTCCTCGTCCAAAGATGGAATACACAGTTACAACAAAGTAAACACATGACCAACTATCTAAGCCATGGTCAAAAAGTTCCCCTAGGGGAGTGCTGGAATTGGTTCTACGGGCTTGCTTTCCATCCACACCATCTGGAACAGAAACACATACCACAGAAAAAAAGGTCAACATCTGTACCAGCAGAAAGACTTTTTTAATAAACTGAAGGGAGAAAAAATACCCAAAATAATCAGCATATTGCAAGAATATTAACTAAAGCATAGTTATGCCAGTCAGTACTTAAATAAAAAAAGAAAAACAATCCAAACCTTAATTCTCACAATTCAAAGACTGCAGAAGCAAAATCTGTAAATGTATTAAAGTTTAACCCCAAAATTAAAGTGTAGTATAGCATATTGATGGAGTCCTGGTATGGTGCTATGGACTAATGCGTCCTGCTACAAAGTTGTTTGAACTGCAAGGTCGGCGGTTCAAGCTCACCAGCTGCTCCTTGGAAACCCTTTACAGGGTTACTTACTATGGGTCAGAATGGACTCGACGGCACTTAACTAGCATATTGAAAAGGCGCTCTGGTAGCATAGTGGTTATGAATCGGGCTGCAACCACAAGGTCAGGAGTTCTAAACTACCAGCTGTTCTGCAGGAGAAAGATAGGCTTTCTGTTCCTTTAAAGATTTACAGCCTCAAAAACCCTGTAGGGATCACTATGAGTCGGAACCGACTGCACAGCACATAACCACCAGAGCATATTGAAAAACCTGCTTTATAATTGAATTCTGAATTTGTGCAAATCTACCTAACAATTGAGTTGTTTTACTTGTCTAGCCTTAAATTCTCATTTGCAAATCTACTGCTTCCACAAGTGCTTTCAGGTTTTGCACAGAGGTGCTCAGAATTAAATTTACTGAAATGGTGCAAAGCACTATTCTCTGTAAGCAAAGATTATAAGAATGAATAAACCAAGTTTCTGCCCTAAGAGAATAGGCAATTGAGACAGGAGACAAAACATGGATTATACCACAAACCATGAAAGAGTACAGAAAGAGAAGGTTTCTCTTCAGGTTAAGATCATCTAGAATGGCTTTCCAGACAAGATGAAATATGAGCGGAGACATGAATAATGAGTTGGATTTCAGCAGATAAGAGATAAAGAAGTATGCCATTTCAAGGAAAAGGAGAGCTAGTAGCAAAAAGACTGAGATGGAAAAGCAAATGAGAAGAGGGAGAGGCACTAATTACTTAGTAGACCAAAACTGAGACAAAATGCAATGGGAATGAAAAGCTGGGAGGTGTTAAGGAGCTAAGCATGACAGGATGCAACAAAAGATTAGATACGAAGTCTTAGGACAAGGAGGCAAAGGTGACTCCAAAGTTCCCGGCCTGGGTAACTAGAAGCAGTAGCGTTAATAGCAATAAGGAAGTCAGAAGGAAGAGCAAGACTGATAGAAAACATGCTGAGTACAACTTACATAGTGAAACTGCAGTGTTGGCAGGATATCCACCTAACAATGTCAAGTGTCAGTCTAAGGGCACTAGCAACTGAGGAGATAAGAGACTAAATACAGATATGGGAATCATTTTACTAGGGCTAAGAAGTGGGGGTTGTGGGTTAATGCGCCAGACTGCAAAGCCGTTTGAACTGCAAGGTTGGCAGTTCAAGCTCACCAGCTATTCCTTGGAAACCCTATACAGGGTTGCTATAGGTCGGAACCGACTCAATGGCACTTCAAAACAACAAAGAATTGGGGAGCCCAGTAGCTCCATAGCATAAACACTGGACTGTGAACTATACAGTCGATGGTTTGAGCCCACCAGCTGATACATGGTAAGGATTTCTGCTCCTGCAAAAATTTAAACCTTTGGAAACCCTATACACGATCACTGAGTGAGAACCGACTCAGAGGCACTTAACAAGAAGATTACCAAGGGAATGAGGAGAAAGGTTAAGGATAAAGCATAGTGCAACACCCTCAGTTAGGGGCAGAAACACAGGGACCTGTGAGATCGAGAAGTATGATAAAACCTAGTTCAAAGTCAAGAGCCTAAAGTTTTAAAACTTACTTTCTCTGAAAGAAATATTAACTGTGTACACTAGAATTAAGCTAACTGTAAAGATTCAGATGTAAGGAATTACATTTTTCTTATAATGACTGTGCTTATCTTGATCACCACAGTATTGTCCCCAGTACCTACCTGAGTCTGTGGCAAAAAGAGCCTTTATAAATTTTCCTAGAGGAATATATGATAAGAGAAATCCCAGATGAAAAATCCTGCCTAAATACTGCAGATCTCTTTTACACGAGATGGGAAATGTACTGCTCCCTTAAGTAGCTAAAATATTTCCTTAAAGTCTTTCCTCATTATTCATTGCCTTAACATTGTCCTATTTTCAGTACATCTCATGTGCCATTATTATAAATAATTAAGTCATTAATTATATATTAATTGAGTTTTAATCTTTTTCTGACTGAATGTATTTCAGCTCCACCACTCTGGGATGCAGATGTTTGAGTTTTTTCTGTTATTGCTTTATTTTAGAAAGGTATAAATTATGAGCAGTAGGGCCTTGAGCAGCTCCCTGTGATCAAACAAACTAATATTTCTGCAGCAAAATATCGTCACATAAAGTAGAATAAAGATCATAAATTGCCTCATGTTGGTTCAAGACAGATTCTGCAACAAATAGTTTATGTTAAACCAAAAAATTAAACTCACTGCCACTGAATTCCAACTCATAGTGACTCTATATAGGGTTTCTGAGACTCTAAATCTTTACACAAAAGCAGACAACTTTATCGTTCTCCCACAGAGCAGCTGGTAGGTTTAAACCGCCAACCTTGCAGTTAGCAGTACAATGCTTAATTTGTCTTACTTAGGTTGGGATTTTTTTGCTGGAATGGTGGACCTGAAACAATAAGTAGATGTTGCTGCTTTGTTATTGTGAAATGCCACTGAGTCAGTTTCAACTCATAGTGATGAAAGTACTGACTGGTGGGTTTGAACTGCTGACCTTGCGGTTAGTTGTTTTGTTAAGTGCCGTCAAGTCGGTTTCAACTCATAACAACCCTGTATAAGGTTTCCGAGTGACTGGTGGGTTTAAACTGCCAACCTTATGGTTCAGAGTCCAGTGTTAATCTTACAGCACCACACCAGGAGTCCAGGTAGATGGTATAAGACATCAAAAGGAATCCAGCTCTTTAAAGTCAAAGTTACAGGATACCCTTACCTTCCACCTAGTCATCTCAGCAACCTTAGCAACCAACTCCTTTGTTGCTGCTGCTGTTAAGTGTCGTGGAATAGGTTCTGATTCATAGTGCAAGTCTTAGCAGGAGCAGAAAGTCTCATCTTTTTCCCTTGGAGCAGGTGGTGGGCTCAAACCATTGACCTTGTGGTTCACAGTCCAGTGCTTATCCTACAGAGCCACCACATTCCCAACCAACAACTCTAGCAACATTTAAAACCCTCATCTTTAATGGAAAATGTACAAAAGCTTCTGCATAAATATGTAACTTTTAACAAGTTTCCCCCAATTCTTACAAACCTCATGGATCTCTTGTAGCTTTAAACTCCTAAAGCTCTAGTTATCTATCACTCTAGCATTAATTGTTGTTGTTGTTAAGTGCCGTCAAGTCGGTTCCGACCCATAGCGACCCTGTACAGGGTTTCCGAGGGTGTAAATCTTTACGGGAGTAGAAAGCCTCATCTTTCTCCCGCGGAGCGGCTGGTAGTTTCGAACCGCTGACCTTAAGGTTTGCAGCCCGATTCGTAACCACTACGCTACCAGAGCTCCTTAATTAGGTACCAAGTTATGGCTTTCAGAGTGTAAATCATTTTCATCTGAAGAGGGTCTGCTTTAGGCAAAAGTATGCATAGCCAATTAGTTTCTCAATCAATAATTCATACACAACTTGTTCTGTGATTGTGTGGCAATAACCACATATGTTAGCACTCTTCCCTTGTCCCCCCTGGGCTCCCTGTTTCCATTTGTCCTGTGTCTTAGTTATCTAGTAGTTGTTTACAACAGAAATACCGTAAGTGGATGTCTTTAACAAACAAATTCATTCTCTCCTTTGTCAGCTCTGGGGAAAGGTCCTTATCTCCTTTCTGCATCTGCAGGTCCAACATTCCTTGGAGATCTCCACGAGTCTTGCCAGTATTCTTCCTTCAGACATAGGAGCTCTACAGTACAGGGAACCCAGGTTCCTACTCCTGTTTCTTCTTTCTTGGTGATCCCTTCTCAGCTCTGCTTGCTTGTTTAATCTCTTTAATACTTCAAAAGAGATTGACTCAAGATACAAACTAATTGTGTAGACTTCATCTGGCCTCATTAACATCATTTTATTCTTGTTAAGAGCCACCAGTCTGGTTTGATTTACAGAGACCCTGTATAGGGTTTCTAAGGAGCAACAGGTGGTTTGAAGCCCTGACCCTGCAGTTCAAACCGATCTTTCTGTCCAGTGCTTATTCTACAGCACCACACCATGGATCATTAACATCATAGAAATGAGAATTTACAACATGTAGAATAATTACAGCAGATGAGGGCTGATCATATCTTGGGGTGATTACATCAGATCAGATCTAGTCATTGGGGATTATTACTACATCTTAGCTGACTATCCCGAACCAGTCAAATTGGCACAAAGCCTTAACTATCACATCTGATTCCCCTGTCCTTTCCTGTCTTCTCATCTTTGCTTTTGTGGAAATCTTGCCCTTTTGGTATCATATAGTTGACTGTCTTATGGAACATATTCCATTTGGGTATCAATGTTTATTTGTTGTTGTTGTTGTTGTTGTTAAGTGCTGCTGAGTTGGTTCTAACTCACAGCAACCCTATATATGGTTTCTTAAGAGTGGCTGGTGGGTGTGAACTGCTGACCTTACAGCTCAAGCCAACCCTGTGGTCCAGTGCATTATCCTACAGCACCACACCAGGACTCTAATTATTTGATGCTATGTCAGTATTAAGGAACTCTGGTAGTATAGTGGTTACAAGTTGGGCTGCTAACCTCAAGGTCAGCAGTCTGAAACTACCAGCCATTTCACGGGAGAAAGATGAGGATTTCTGCTTCCTGTAAAGATTTACAGCCTCAGAAAACCTATAGGGTCACTATAAGTCAGAACCGACTCCACAGCACACTGCCACCACCACATCAGTATTGCTTCCCAAACTTAAGGGTGAAAATTAAGTCCTTTTGCAGAGGTTGACAAATATTTTTTGTAAAGGGCCAAATAGTATGTATTTCAGGCTTTGTGGGCCATACTACTGCTGCAACTATCCAACCAAGTCATTACGGCAAGAAAGCAGCAATACATAATACATAAAGGAATGAACACAGCTTTGTTCTAATAAAACTTAATTCACAAAAATGGGTGATGGGCTACATTTGCCCTATGGACTATAGTTGGTCAACCCTATTTTATTCTATCGCTAGAAAATAATATCGCTGAGCAAATAATCCGAGAAGCTGGGTTATATGAAGAATAACATGGCATTAGGATTGGAGAAAGACATTAACAACCTGTGATATGCAGATGATACAACCTTGCTTGCTGAAAGCGAAGAACACTTAAAATATTTACTGATAAAGATCAAAGAGCACAGCCTTTGGTATGGATTGCATCTCAATGTAAAGAAAACAAAAATCCTTACCACTGGACCAATAAATAACATTTTTATCAACGGAGAAATGATTGAAGTTGTCAAGGACTTCATTCTTCTTGGATCCACTATCAACACTCATGGAAGCAGCAGTCAAGAAATCAAACGACGTATTGCATTAGGCAAATCTGCTGCACACAACCATTTTAAAGTGTTGAAGAGCAAAGATGTCAGCTTGAGGGCTAAGGTGTACCTCACCCAATCCATGATATTTTCAATAACCTCATATGCATGTGAAAGCTGGACAGTGAATAAAGAAGACCGTAGAAGAATTGATGCTTTTGAGTTATGGTATTGGAGGGCAATACTGAAAGTGCCATGGGCTGCCAAAAGAACCAAGAGATCTGTGTTGGAAGAAGTGCAGCCAGAGTGCTCCTTGGAGGCCAGGATGGCCAAACTTCGTCTCTCATACTTTGGACATATTGTCAGAAGGGACCAGTCGCTGGAAAAAGATACCATGTTTGTTAAGGTGGAGGGTCAGAGAAAAAGAAGAGCTTCAGCAAGACGGTTTGGCAAAGTGGCAGCATCAATGGCCTCAAGCGTGGCAACAATTGTGAGGTTGGCCCAGGATCAGGCAGTGCATAAGGTCGCTATGAGTCGGTACTGACTCGATGGCACCTAACAACAACAACAATCACTAGCAACGAATGACATTTTTCACAGAGAAACTAAAAAACATGTATCAAATTACACCAAAAATTAATAAGCCGCATTAAATTGAAAAAGTGGCTACCCTTGCTGGCAGATTTATCATGCGCTTAACTGAAATGCATATTTACCAATGTCTTACCTAAAGTGTAAGCTACGAAGTTGAGGATGCCTACTACAATCCAAACCCAGTCAGGAACATGCTTGTGACCTGGTGCTGCAAAGCAGAGCAAGTAAAATTGTCATAAGTGTAGTACAGCGGTTCTTATCGTAGCATACCTTGCTAATGAGAAATGTGTGCTTGTTAATTAGGGGCTAAAATGCATCTGTAATGTAATTTAGATACAGAACTAGGTACAATATTACAATTTAACAGTAAACTCTGATTAAAGCTCAGGAGTTACTCCCAAATCCCTCCTTAAGAGTAAGCATTTTTATGAGCTTTAATCCTAACAGAAGAGTGAATGTTCATCTTGACTTGAAAATTATTTCTATGTCTAGACTGAAAATACATACTTCTGGAATGAAAAAAAAAGTATGAGTTAAATATACACCTCATTGTTTCTGGTAACACCATAAGCAATTATCACCCTTTGCCTTTTTTAATACTTTACTCTCACTCTATTATTAATTAGCTAAACAAAAGACCTTTTCATTTGGGTATAGATTGCCTAAACGAGTCATTCTGAAATGGCTATACCTCACTTTTCCCCATATGACAGAATAACTAAGTATCTAGTTCTGGCTTTGTAATCAACCAGCAATGTGACCTGGAATATAACACTTAACCTTTCCACCTGCTATTCCCCAAATATAAAACAAAACAACTGGACTAGATAATTTATCTGGTCCTTTAAGGTCTAAGATTTGGAAAAATACTCTATTTATATACTTTTAATTCTCTTAATAAACATGATAAATAATCTTATTTTGAGTAGTCAGAAAAACAGTATTTCTGGTTACAAAGATACACTACTGAGATATTCTGAGGATTAAAACACAAATTAAAAGACACGGAACCATGCTTAATGAAATTTAATTTGACTCTCTGTTCAAAGAGAACTTGAGGGTCTTCTAGCGCTTCAGAGCTGGCATTTAAGACTTCAATTATCATTTTATTATATGTACAGAAGCATTGGTTAAACATTTTCACTGATAAACCTTGGCACACATATAGTTTCAATATTCAGAATTTCAAGTCATAAATGTCTGAAACTCTGAATTTCAGGGGTTCCTAATTTTCCTGTATAAGCCCACAAAGTCCTGCTGAACCTCAATAGATGAATTACAATACTAAAACTACTTGTATTGGGATGCAAAAAATAATAATAATTTACATCTATCTGTTCCTATCAGCTCAACCAACTGGCTACTCAATGGAAATGTCTCCCACTATCCTCGTTCATTCCAAATATACTCAAAACCTAAGAATCTTTCCTATGGACTAAGGCAGAAACCAAAGGTGAGATAAAGTGAGGAATAAAAACAGGTGAACTAGTGGTAGGAGAACACGCTGAGGAGGAGGAAACAAAGATCCCATTCCCTTTTACGTTTGTGACTAGAAAAAGGGGAGAGATATTCCTAGAGTTTGGAAGGTATATTATATTAAGCCCTGTTAGTGCTCATTTCTTAGGCAAAGTATAGCAGTCTTAATTTCCCACCTTCTTGTAAGTCCAATTATTCTTTATTTATTGAAATCCTACTGCTCTTACACAGCATACTTGAGTTCAATAGGCAAGTTAGTACTATATTTCCAGAAATATATACATATGTATGGAAACATACATAACAGATTATAAAAACATTACTTGGTTTTTGTACATAAATCTGATATTTTATATACCATTATACAACATTTAAAACTTTTCAGAGATATAAGCATGTTAATTAAACCAGAAAATAACCACATCTCATTTTTATTTAGAAATTTAAAATTTTATATTAAAGTAATAATCTTACCTGAAGCATAAAAGTCGGGATCAAAGTATGCCATAAGTAGAAAATTGAATACAACCAGCAAAAAGCCAGAAAAGGTTATCAGATTTGGAGCCAGCCAAGTAGGAAGCACCTATTGGGTTTTTTCCAAAGAAATTATAAGATGATTAAAATAGAGTAATCTGCCTCCAATAAATATGAGGTAAGTCAAAAAGCATTGCTATTAGGGTTCTAGTTCACGGGTTGATCTTTAAACGCCTCTGCAATCAGTGGGCTGCAGACACGTTCTCTCAGTAATACACTTGGTCTTCTTTCATTGTTGTTGTTGTTGTTGTGAAGTGCCATCGAGTCGGTTCTGACCCATAGTGACCCTGTACAGGGTTTCCAAGGGTGTAAATCTTTACGGGAATAGAAAGCCACATCTTTCTCCCGCGGAGCGGCTGGTAGTTTCAAACTGCTGACCTTAAGGTTCGCAGCCCGATTCGTAACCACTACGCTACCAGAGCTCCTTTCATTAGGAAGCCTTAAAAAAAAAGTCTAATCCAAACAGTGGCTTCTGAAGGGGCCTACTGGCCAAAGACGTCAGCTCAGAAGGTTAGGACAACTAATTTTTAGGACTCCCAAAGGGACAATTTTGATAGATGTTTCTCAAGTGAAACAGGGCAATCATAGGGGCTTATTATGAAAAAGTTTTACGAAACCGGAAAACTGCATTGGTAAGAAAACTGCCACAAAAGTTGCACTGAGGAAAGTTTTTTCCATCGCGACAATGCATCTGCGCATTCTTCAAGAGTTACAGGGCATGCTTGAATTTCTTTAGGAAATCTTACCCTTTCCACCTTACAGCCCTTATCTTGTCCCTTCAGACTTCTTTTTGTTCCTAAAACGCTAAGAACATTGAAGGAACATGATTTGAATCCTTCAAGGATGTCAAAACTGCCATTTTGACATGGTGTAAATTGAGGAGTACAGAAGGTTAGAGATGGAAACACCACCTTCAGAAATGTATAGACATAAACAGAAGATATAGCGAGACACAGTAGCATCACATTTCGATATTTTTATTTACTATAGGTTTCTATGAGTTGGGAGCAACACTTTTTGACTTATCCTTATACTATCACATGCAAATCTGAGTCATAATAAGAGTTATAAATCTGAACGATCATAAGCAGTCTTTTATATAATAAAATGTGAACCATAATCTCTGCTTGACAGAAATAGCCATTTCTTTCTTTTAAACTTATCTATAATGAACTTTTGTATTCCTAGTATCGTGCTGTAGGTAAGTATTGGACTGTAAACCACAAGGTTGGAAGTTCAAACCAACTAGCCGCTCTTCGGGAACTCTATACAGGGTCACTATGAGTTGGAACCAACTCGACAGCATTTAAAAACAATCACATAATGAACTTTTGTAATCATGAAATCAAAGATGATAAATTCCAGAGTATAATCTTCTATTTCATTAGTAAGATAAGTATTTTAAACTTACTAAGATAATCTTACCTTTACTATAGTGTTCCAAAATGGATGCATGACATACAGGGAAAGTGGATTGGTATCCACAGCACTGTACTGTTAACAAATGAAACAAAGATTCAGAGTTAATCCTCACATACTAGTAAAAAACAGAATACTTCTTAAATGAAAATAATGGTACAAAAAATAACCTGGAAAAACATCTATTTATATGTTATCCTCATCAAAATTACAAAACTGGATCTCAATAGAAATGGGCAAAGACTGAAGCACAATCAGATGGTTGTGGCAGGGAGGGAAAGGATACGGGAGAGCAAATCAAAGAGGAAGTCTAAAGATCAACTTCCAATCAAAGGTTTCATCTCAGAGTGGTTGTTTAATTCATACATATCCTTCCAGTGTGCAAATCACTACGCTAATCACTGATTCACCATTCCCTCTCATTTCAGTAATTACACTGCTTACATTCAAACATTGACCACCCTCCTTCATCACTCTGAATTTACAGGAATCCAGCTGTCTATGCTCCCCATCCCATTCCCACCTTCCAAAACCATTTCTAATACACTTAATAGTCATACAATTTTGAGTTGTTACTTAACCCTCTCTTATTCATTTCGTGTACACAAACACAAACACACACACTGGAGTACCTACCATGCAGGTAGGGACGGGGATGAAAGGATACAAAATTGTTAAGAGGCAATTACCACCCTCAAGGAGTTCAAAGTTATTACCTGAGCTAATATTAACTAGTTCATCAATATTCTACTAGCCAATGTTTTAAAAGTTCTGATGATGTTTTGTCCCTATGTTTAGTATATATATAAAATAGTTGTTGTTAACTGCCATTGAGTCAGTTCCGACTCCGAGTGACCCTGTATAGGGTTCCCGTGGAGTGCCTAATATAAGCATTCAATTTTCTGGAAGCACAATGGCTCTGTAGGAGAAGCACTGGACTATGAATCATAAGGTTGGTGGTTCGAGCCCACTAGTCACTCCAAAGGAGAAAGACGAGGCTTTCTGCTCCTATAACAATTTACAGCCTTGGAACCAAGTGCTGACTCAACAGCACTTAATAACAACGACTACTTTATTATCAAATTCCTTTTAAAATCTTAAGTAAAGATCATATTCTCTTTCTGAATATTTCATGAATATGCAGGAAACACTTTCCCATCAGTTTCCAGATTCAAACGAGTGATGAAACAAATGAACAAATAATTAGAAAAAAATTTAAATACTATTGGCAAGAGGGGCTAAGCGCTTTTTCAACAGACTAGATGTCTGACGTTTAATTTCTTCAACCCATGCTTCCTAAAACAAGATTGTTGCTGTTATTGTTAAGTGCCATCAAGTCAATTCCGACTCACAGCAACCCTGTTACAGTATTTCCAAGGCTGTAAATATCTGCAGGAACAAAAGCCTCCTCTTTTTCCCATGGAGCAGTTGGTGGGCTCAAACCACCAACCTTGTGGTCTGCAGTCCAGCAGAGTCACTGGGCTCCCCTAAAGCAGACTTAAGGCAGGTAGTAGAAAAAAAGGGTGACAGCAAATGCAGGTTTGCTTCAACTGGTCAGAGTTAGAAGTAGTGCAAATTTCTACTACTGCTGTTGTTACTAACACAACTCCAACTTGCATGGTATTCTACAGGGTATAAAGCTTTTCACATAATATGTATCACTGCATCTGAATCTTTGCAGAACGAAGGAGTTCTAAATTGACAAGTTTGAGTAAATTTAATCTTCAGGCTGACATGAAATTCCAAGGATTACTGATGGCCAGCTGAGAAGGCCTTAGTCTTCTCCATGAGAGCCTGCACCCACACTCACATGACACAGCCTGCTGGTCAAACCACACATATTAAATCTATCACCTACAGCCAAGTACAAAAGTGTAAGAAGTTCAAATCAGAAGAAAATGACTTAAGGTATCACATGAATACCTCATACCAAAACAAAGTAAAATGTTTTATTTTATTTTTATTCATTTATTTATTTAAGGTTTTTATTGTGGATTGAGTGAAAGTTTACAGAGCATATCATCAGTTTTACATTCAACAAATCATGTACCATCAGTTAACAGTATTTCTCTCTATCCACTTTAGCTTTTTAAAAAACACACACAAAAAAAACCACTCAGGCATATATAATAATTTACATCTCAAAAGGGCACATTCTGCATGTCTACTCCTGGCCACCAGCGCTTAGTCCTTCTCTTCATAGTCCATGAATCTAGAGTCCTCAGCCGCTCCCCCTCTTCATGCCCCCATCTCTGGTGCTGCTGCTTCTCTGGATAAGGTCCCGCATTCTATTTGTGCGTTCCTCTCTTGATGGACTTAGGGTGCTCTGTTTCTGGACTGTAAGATTAACCACTCCCATTTTTTTGTTACAAAACTTCTACCTTTACAATTGTGACAGTCGCGATTAGTCATGATAACAGTTATTCACTATTGAATCTTACAAATCTTATCCCC